ACCACAGCACATATAAGCAGAGAAGAAGAAGCGTGATGAATGCAGCACCACAACCGCCACACTGCTTCCTTATACTCATCAATGATGCCCTAAGAGAATCCCCTGCTCGCTGGAAATATGTCGACGACTCCACCATTGGGATCAGCGTCAACAATTCTGCTCCCAACTATACCGCCCTTCAGGATTTATTGAACAGTCTCCAAAACTGGGCCACCAACAACCATGTCACCATCAACCATACCAAGACCATGGTTATGCACATCAACCTCTCCCCCGACATTGTCCCACCTCCTTCCATTACTCTAGGTCCGAACACACTCCAGGTTGTAGATTCCACGAAGCTCCTCGGCGTCACCATAGACAACAAACAAAATTGGAAACCACACGTCAGTTAAGTTGTCAAATCCTCCAGTTTCCGCCTCCACCTCCTCCGCCGACTCAAGTCCCTCGGAGTTCCTGCACATGAGCTCCTCAGTGTTTACACAACATTCATACTTCCCAAGCTCACCTATGCCTCCCCCACCTGGTCTTCCTCCCTAAATGCCACACAACGTAAACACCTAGAAAAAGTGCAAAAGAGGCATGCAAGATTATTCTCTCCCCTTCCTACTCCACATATCAAGAAGCGCTCAACACACTGACCCTTTCGACTCTCACTGACCATCACCACGACCTCATCTGCAAATTTGGTAAGAAGCTTCTACACCATCCCCGACACTACTCCACCTGAGATCCCTTGTCCGAGAATTGCTGTTCGACACCACAACCGCATCCAGCCCATACGTGCACGAACTGATCGCTATAAGAACAGCCCAGTCCCAACCATTGTAAAAATTATCAATAACTTGTAATATCAGTGTATTCACTCCCAGTAAACACTGCCCATACCTGTCACTATGTTGGAAATGAACTGTAGTTTGAGCTTTTCCCCATCTAGTTATTATATGTCTTATTTGTGTCACTTATGTTACTTGTATATTATTTGTAATTCGTAACCCATTCCCCAAATATGTAACTGTATATTTTCAGCCTTCTGGCTGCCAAGCTCTTTCAATAAACCGTTAATTATTATTATTATTATTATTATTACACCACTCCACTTCTTTCAAGTCCTCCCTGGTCTAGGATTAAGAAGATTTTATATTTTTCTACTTTAGGAAGTTAAGGAGTGTGAATGCAACGCCACACAACGAACCCTGGTGAGCCCAGCCAGGGAGGGATTCACCGCTGTGGAAGGTGTAAGACAGTACGGTCTTTGGTCTCGCCGACACTCACGTACGGAGGGCGAGCCCTGGTCCGCGGAACCTGCCTTACAGTCATCTAAGGAGATGACAGCCCAAGCAGTGGACCGGCTTTCATCCCGGCCGGAGGGGGCCGACGGCAGATGAACAGAAAATCGTCTGGAATATGTTGAAAATGATGATGTTGCAGAGAAAAAATACAGATGGAGCAGAAAAATTCATCTGGAATATGACGGAAAACGAAGATGTATAAAGAAACGCAGATGAACAGAAAATTCATCTGGAATATTATAGAAACCAGGAGGAAGTGAGAAGAAGTCAGAAGATGTGGTGACACGACCTACAAAGTGCGGTATTGAAGAAAGAAAAACGTGCTATGTGAAGACAGAAGACACGCTGTGCTGACATCAGAAGAAAGTCGACGATGACGAGGTGGATCATCAGAAGGACCAATCGACTACCGCTGTTATGCTGCCGGCATTCCCTATTTTCAGATAACAGCTGGACGGAGGACTTGAGCCATGCTGGACCCAACAAATGTACTGATGTTGTTGATGTTGCTGATGTGTAATAAAAAGATATAACACCCTAACATGTGAAGTAGGAGCATTTTGTATTTTGTATTTAATTCTCTGATTTTTGTTATCATGTACTACAAAGAATGTTTTTTTTTAAAAGATGAGTCACTTTTTCTATGATTTCATTTGATCAATGTTTTGTATTACCAAATGCAATGTTGTAGACATACTACTGAGTGGGACGAATTATTATTTTGACACGGCCTGGTTAGGCAATGTAACACCTGTTTTTGTTTGTAGAATGTGATTTGCAAGTTTGCCTCGGACACTATGCTAGATATGAAGGATCTTTAGATCACTCTATGTTCACTTACTGTGTATGTATTTTATTTTTTTCTCCTGTCATAGAAGCTTTAATCTTGGCGGGAGGTATAGTAAGCTTTGTCAGATCAAACTATGCCAGTAGAAAAACATACATCTCTAGGGTTATAATTTGTAAAATGTAAGGATGCATTATCGCCTCAGGGACTATATTAGATACTGCACATGATGTTACTGTCTACTTTAAATGTGTCATCAGTTCTCTGAGCATGAAAGCTTTGGTCTTGGCGGGAGGTGTTGTGATGGGTTGTCAGACCACAGCTTACATCTCAGAAACAGTCCAGACTTGACCCGACATTAGGGGGGTCAAAAGTGTAGGGTAACTCTCGCGGCTGACCAAGGGTTATAAATCAGCCAGGCTCCCCTCCCATGTCACACGGCCCCAACACACATGTAAGAAGGCACCGGCCGACTCTCTCCCAATATACACAATAACCTACACCGCAGAAGAAGTCCAGACCTGACCCTACATTAGCGAGGGCAAATGTAAGGAGACCCTTCGCCGCCCCCCCGATCAGCTCAACCTGACGGCTCGCCTCCCAATATATAGGACGTCCTAGTCCTCCCTCTCCCCAGAGAGAGAGAGAGAGAGACAGAGAGAGAGTGTGTCTTGTAACCAAGAAGGGCCAGCTACCACGTCCCAGTCCTGCTAGAGAAGTCAGGGGCCGGAGGCAAGCCGCCTCCGGTCGCCTCCGGTCAGGACCGAGACTTCCCTCCGGCGCCCAGCTAAGCAGTCTCCCATAGAGACAACCCAGGACCACCTGCTAGGCCTCCCCTAGGTCACGTGAGTGTTTGTCAGAGCTTTCCATGGGATGAGTTACTTACGTGGGAAGTGTATTCATTTCATGTTCGTGTCCGAGAATCAGTGTCTAGTAACGTAATATGATGTCCTAGTAACGTAAACATAATGTCCTAGTAACTTCAGTAGAAGGTGTTATTAATGTGTCCATGTCATGTTCGTAATTAATAAAGAGTTGTAACGAAGCAGTGTTTGAGAAGTCGCCCTTAAGACGTAATAGATGTGTATTGACGTATAAGATACAATAAGTGTACGATAAGTGTAAATATCTATCACGGCCACGCTACCAAAGTCTTCCTCTTTTATACTCTTATACTATCAATATTCTACCTATATGTAATCTTCTTCTTGTGAGATTTGTCTCATTACATATGGAGCAGTGTGTTGTGGTGTTATGGAGCAGTGTGTTGTGGTGTTATGGAGCAGTGTGTTGTGGTGTTATGGAGCAGTGTGTTGTGGTGTTATGGAACAGTGTGTTGTGGTGTTATGGAACAGTGTGTTGTGGTGTTATGGAGCAGTGTGTTGTGGTGTTATGGAGCAGTGTGTTGTGGTGTTATGGAGCAGTGTGTTGTGGTGTTATGGAGCAGTGTTATGGAGCAGTGTGTTGTGGGTGTTATGGAACAGTGTGTTGTGGTGTTATGGGGCAGTGTGTTGTGGTGTTATGGGGCAGTGGGGCAGTGTTGTGGTGTTATGGGGCAGTGTGTTGTGGTGTTATGGGGCAGTGTGTTGTGGTGTTATGGGGCAGACACTACACTACACTACACTACACTACAGAGACAGACACTACACTACACTACACTACACTACACTACACTACACTACAGAGACAGACACTACACTACACTACACTACACTACACTACACTACAGAGACAGACACTACAGACGCCAGCACCTCTACCTACACAATGGCTCTACCACTAAAATACCTTAATGATTTTTATGTAGGGGACGTTACACCTCCTTACCTCACCTCCCACCTTCGTCTTCTTCCTATCCTTACTATCCTATCTTCCTAACCTAACCTACCCTCCCTTCTATCTTGCAATTCATCCTTCCCTCCCTCCCTCCCTCTCCTCACTCCTTCCTTCCTTCCCTCCTTCCTTCCCTAACCCTCAACAATTCCCCTTCCTTTTTTTCTTTCCCTCACACTTCCCTTCCGTCCGATTTCTCCCCTCGTTTTGTTTTCCCTTTTCTCCTCTCTCTCCTCCCCTTCCATTTCCGTCCCTTCTCTTTTCTCTATTCTCCTTTCCCCTCGCTTCCCTCTGTACTACACACCTGCCCCTCTCCTTTTCTCCTGTTACACACCTGTCCCTCCCTCTCCATCCTGTTACATACCTGCCCCATTCCCTCCTTCTCCCTCCTGTTACACACCTGCATCGCCTCCCTCTCTCCCTCCTGTTACACACCTGTCCCCCCTATCCCTCCTGTTACATACCTGCCCCTACCCCCCCTCTCTCTCCTGTTACACATCTGCCCCTCCCTTTCTCCTGTTACACCTGGCCCTCCCTCTCCTCTTATTACACACCTGTCCCCCCTCCCTTCACACGTCCTCAGTCACAGGTATGACAGGAATAAGATTGTAAATAATCAAACGTGAAATTGTAATGGCAAAATCGTAGAACAATCCGGGTGGCTGTTGCGTGCGGTGAAATTGGGTGAAATTGGGTTAAATTGGGTACTGTGCTGCGTGAGGCTCGGAGAACAGTAAACACAGGAGGTCTGTAATAAGAAGCTGGAAATAATAATAGAAAATAAAGGAAAATTGGTCCCATTGGTGATGTAAGCAGCGGCCCTTTGACTGACACGAGGATCATAAATGTGTGTGTGTGTGTGTGTGTGTGTGTGTGTGTGTGTGTGTGTGTGTGTGTGTGTGTGTGTGTGTGTGTGTGTCCATGATCTAAAATGTTTAATAATAAATTCTTCTAGAGATGGAGAAACTGGGAGGGAGGGACGGAGGGAGGGTGAGGAGCCAGAAGGAAGGTTGTAGCGCCGAGTGTTGTCGACGGTGGAGTGGTAAGACGGGAGGGGAGGAAGGCGTCGAGTCAGTGTATCCAGGAAGGTGGTGGAGGACGGTGTTGGTATTGACGTCGTGGCTGGTGGTGACTGAGCCACAGCCAAACGACCTCCACCACAACACACTCACCCCTTGTCAGTTCACCAGCCAGCGACTTCTGCCACAACACACACACACACATACCTCACTCTTGATCTTGGGTTATGCGTAAACAACTAGCGTAATCATAACACAAGCACGGTGATGATAGACGCTACGTTACCTCAGTGTGTGTGTGTGTTGGTGGACGGCAGTGACTCATAACTCTAGTGCCTGGCTGTAACTGTGGTACTGGCTATTACGGTAGCACTATAACCTGAACTTGTGTAATTAACTCCTGTGATGGGACACACAGGTGGGACGGTAAGAACAGTTTTGAGTATGACTGTAGTGGTGACTGTGAGAGTGGTGACAGTCTAGTTGTGGCTGTGTGATAAACTGTGACGGTAGAACAGACAGACGGGGACGGTGGACAGTGCGTGACTTGGCAGTGTGTTGTGTAATAGTAATTCATCTCTGGGTTGTGTAGTTGACTTTTTAGACCAGGTATAAAGACGGGAACGGTAGCAGTGCCTGGCTATATGTATCCTGGAGAGCCAACACAGTACCATCGTCGTGTCCACGTGTTAGTGTAGAAGCTAGTGGCCCGCCGCAGCAACAAGAAGGCTCTAGAGGTAAGCCAACACACACCACTGACTCTAACCTAACCTAACCTAACCCAACCCTCGTCACTCTTACCATATATATAAAGTCCCTCCTTAATGCATCCAATTATTCCTGGATTATATATTTTTTTTATTACAATTAACGTTACTTTTTTGGTCCTGTTTTTTGTTACTGTTTCTTTGTCTGTTTGTGATGGATGTCTGTTGTAATTGTTTGTGTTGCTTTCTGTTTTGTTTTTGTTTGTTTTTCTGTTTGTTTGTTATTCCGGTCAATTACGATGTGACTTTTTTTTAAAATTTCTGACTATTTGTTACTTGTTACCTGTTAATTAGCACCTGTTAGCTCCTACCTATTAATACCTATCGTTACCGTTTACCTTAACCCGTTACTGGTTACCGTTAATCGTCCCGTCACAGCACCTCACCTCACAAAAGGAACCGTTTAGTGACTGTCTACACCCGTTTCCTGTTACCGTTGTCCCTGCTGGGAATCTAAGAGGAACCTATACAATATTTTCCTCCTATATTCAACACAGTCACTCCTATGTAATGGCTATGTTAAGTCTCATTGGTTGAACTTGAGCTACTGTTTATCATTGTTTGTACTGTATACCTGTTCTGGCTATGTATGCTGTTTGTATACCTGTACGTTCTATGTATATTGTTTGTATACCTGTATTGTCATCTCTACCTGCAGCAGACCCCACAACAAGATCAAAATGAACTACATACAGATTGTCCAGCGCCCAGCATACTCCCAGAGGCCGTATGGGGTGATAAGGTCTCCCTATACCGAACACCCAGGCTGCTCCGTCCTGTGCAACCATCCCACCGCACCACACACACACCGTAACCTGCTCAACCTTACTCGTGCTTCATGGGTAAGGTGTATGGTTTAATGGTTTGGTTTATTCTAGTGATTACCTGTAGATTAGATCCACCTGGTTTATTTTACCTGATGATTCAACACTTTTATGGTAATTTAATTTATTCTATCTTGTCCGAATTTTAATCTAACCTAACCGAAACTAACCTAACCTAACCTACCTTACTCCACCCATAACTAACCTAACCTAACCGTGCTCTACACTAACCTAACCTAACCATTCCCAGACAGCGTTAGTTAGGGTGTTTAATCATCAGGTGAAATAAGCTGGGGTGGCTAATCTTCAGGTGGTTCAATTCTTCTGTTTCTGTGTGTGTATCGTGTCTTCATCACACACACACACACACACACACATTACTACTACTACTACTACTACTACTACTACTACTACTTTGCTGTCACTCGGAATCGAGTATGACGATCATCCAGCTATGATACAATGATATGAGTTATTAAGGATGTCACTTAGGTTGGTGAGTTTTGAGGTGACTAAAGAGTCCGATACGGGACCCTCAGCGTCGTTCACATTCGTTGCATATGTGGAGGGCTCCATCTACTGCGGGAGGGGCGGTGGCAGCGTCTTTCCGGCATTGGCGCTTGTCTGCCTTGGTTTGCAGTCGGGCTAACTCAAAATTATTGACACGTTCTCGTGTGGTGCTCCTCCAAGCGTTACGGTGTGGAGTAATCGACTCCCAGGTGAGGGGGTCGATTTGGCACTTTTTCAGGTTTGTCTTAAGACTATCCTTATACCTTTTTAATTGCCCGCCAGCGTTACGTTTACTATTCGTTTGGTGACTGTAAAGCAGCTGCTTTGGAAGTCTACTGTCGTCCATGCGGGTAACATGGCCAGTCCAACGTAGTTGTTCATGGATAATGGTAGCCTCGGTGCTCCTACAGTTGGTGTCGGCAAGAATACTGGCATTTGTTCTCTTGTCTTCCCAGCGAACTCGGAGGATGGAACGTAGACTACGTTGGTTAAAGTTTTCAAGTGCCTTGAGGTGCCTCTTATATGTGACCCATGTCTCACTGCCATATAGCAGGGTGGGGACGACCACTGCTCGGTATACGTGCAGCTTTGTAGATAATTTCAGCTCCCTACAGCTGAAGACACGATTTCGGAGTCTGCCAAAGGCTTGAGATGCACATCTGATCCGATGCTGAATCTCTGCATCGATGTCTGCGGTGGTGGACAGGTGGGAGCCGAGATACTGAAAGTGGGTAACATTAGAGAGGGTAGTACCATTAAGCTGGATGGATGGTGGAGGTGTGTCTGAACCAGGAGCAGGTTGAAAGAGAATCTGAGTCTTACGTACATTCACCTCAAGGCCGAAGTGTGCATACGCGTCTGCGTAGGTGTTCAGGATCTCCTGTAGGTCGTGTTCAGTGTGAGCAACAAGGGTGAGGTCTTCAGCATACTGAAGTTCAGTAATGGAAGCTGCCGACACCTTTGTTCTTGCCTGGAGTATCCATATGTTGAAAAGACCCCCCTTCACACGGTACTCGATGTCCACCCCGCTGGCTAAATTGGCACTGGCCTGAGTAAGGAAGGAAGCCAAGAAGATGGAAAAGAGAGTTGGTGCCAGTACACACCCTTGTTTAACCCCTGTTTGGATGGGGGAGAACTCTGGCTGAGTGCTGTTGTGCATGACACTGCCGTTTAAGCCATCGTGGAGTTGCCTCACAATGGTGATGAATTTTGGTGGGCAGCCAAAACGGCTGAGGTTCCACCAAAGGACTTCCCTGTTGATGGAGTTGAAGGCCTTGGTTAAGTCGATGAAAGCCATGTACAAGTCACGACGCTGTTCTCTGCACTTTTCCTGTATCTGGCGGGCAGCAAAGATCATGTCAGTGGTGCTATGTGATGGTCTAAAACCACATTGAGATTCTTGGAGGAAGTTTTCCGGCTCAGGAAGAAGTCTGTTTAGGAGGACTCGGGCGATAATCTTGCCAGTTACGGAGAGCAGCGAGATCCTCTGGTAGTTGTCACAGTCTGACCAGCCTCTCTTTTTCTTATAAATATTGACAATGGAGGCGTCTTTAAGAGCTCGGGGGATTTCTTCCTTTTTCCATATATTATCCAGGAGAGAGTGGAGATGGCTGGTAAGCAGAGGTTCTCCTGCTTCATACACCTCGGCTGGGATTCCATTAGGCCCTGAGGCTTTGTTATTTTTCATCTGTTTGATGGCAGTAGCTACCTCATCCAGGGATGGAGGATAGCTGAGATGGGTCACCTCTGGATGCTGAGGGACCTGCTGGGTAGTCAGGACATCCACATCGGTGTTTTGGTTGAACAATGAATTGTAGTGCTCTTTCAAGCGCTGAAAGAGGCCTTCATCGTCTTTAATTATGAGGCTACCGTCAGATGAGCGGAGGGGGGTTGCACCACGAGTGATTGGTCCATAAAATGTTTTACTGGAAATGAAAAATTCGCGCATCTTGTACTGATCTGCAAGTTTTTGTGCTTCACATGCTTTATTTTTAAGCCAGTTGTTCTTTAGATTGCGAAGTTCCAGCCTGGCTACTGCTTTCTTCTTGCGGAAGGTATCAGCTTTGGTCCGAGACTGAGGGTTGTTCTGCAAGTCAGTAAAAGCAGCACGTTTATCATCGATGAGTACTTTGATTGCCGGTTCATTTACATCAAACCAGTCCTGGTGTATTCTTTTGATCTGGCTGAGGTTTTTGCAGGTTTTTGTCATAACAGTATTAAGAGTGTCTCATTCGGCACTGGGATTCACTTTGTTTGCTGTTGGGTTGTTAATAAGCTCATGCTCGAGCTGCTATCTAAACGCATGTGCTACCGCTGGATCCTCCAGATGCTTAGTATTAAAACCTCTTCTGGAGGCTTGCTGCCTTCGCCGTTTTGGGGTGACGTGAAGTGAGAGCTTGGATCTGACAAGTCGATGATCAGTGTCACAGTGGTCTGAGCCACGCATGGCAAGGGTGATAAGGACTTCTCGGGGATCTCTTTCTCTGACAGTTATGTAGTCAATGAGATGCCAGTGTTTGGATCGTGGGTGTTGCTACGAACCCTTGAACTTGTCGGTCTGCCTAAACAAGGTATTAGTGATAGTGAGGTTCTGTGCAGCACACTTGTTGAGGAGAAGTAGGCCGTCGGGATCCCTGCCAAATGTTAGCATCTCTGCCAACTCTGGCATTGAAGTCGCTAAGGAGCACAACTTTGTCTTCTCTTGGGATAGAGGTTAGCATTTTGTCGAGGTCGGCGTAAAAGGCCTCCTTGCGCCATCCTCTACATCCAGTGTTGGGGTGTATGTATTGATGAAGAAGGCATGAAGTGAGTGATTCAGTGGGACTTGGAGCGTCGTGGGGCGCTCGTTGATCCCAATAGGCATTTCAGTTAGCCTGTGTAGGATGCGTTGGCGGATGGCAAAATCAACTCCATAAATGTGGTTTCTCTCCGCAATAGGCTTACCCTTTCAGAAGAAGGTGTAGCCAGACCCCTGTTCTGTGAGTTGGCCCTCATCTGGACACACAAAAAAACACAAAAAAAACATACAAACAAACACACACACACACACACACACAAGAGATAATACCCCTCGCATGTTCATTATTCCAGTATTATAAACAGTGATTTCCCAGCCAGAAGGACCTAACAAAGGTTAATTAACTCAGGTGAAGTAGGTTAATTTAACACAGGTGAGATGAACCAATGAGAGATAAGCTTGGTTCTCTTATCTGGAGCTTTTCTAACATTACAACACCTACCTATCCCAGGGCTCTATGTGACTGTTTAAACTATCCCAGATCTCTAGGTGACTGTATAAACTATCCCAGATCTCAAGGTGACTGTATAAACTATCCCAGGGCTCTATGTGACTGTTTAAACTATCCCAGATCTCTATGTGACTGTTTAAACTATCCCAGATCTCTAGGTGACTGTATAAACTATCCCAGATCTCTAGGTGACTGTTTAAACTATCCCAGATCTCTAGGTGACTGTATAAACTATCCCAGAGCTCTATGTGACTGTATAAACTATCCCAGAGCTCAATGTGACTGTATATACTATCCCAGAGCTTTATGTGACTGTATATACTATCCCAGAGCTCTATGTGACTGTATAAACTATCCCAGAGCTCTATGTGACTGTATATACTATCCCAGAGCTCTATGTGACTGTATATATTATCCCAGATCTCTAGGTGACTGTATGAACTATCCCAGGGCTCTACGTGACTGTATAAACTATCCCAGGGCTCAATGTGACTGTATATACTATCCCAGAGCTTATGTGACTGTATAAACTATCCCAGAGCTCTATGTGACTGTATATACTATCCCAGAGCTCTATGTGACTGTATGAACTATCCCAGAGCTCTATGTGACCGTATATACTACCCCAGAGCTCTATGTGACTGTATAAACTATCCCAGAGCTCTATGTGACTGTATAAACTATCCCAGAGCTCTATGTGACTGTATATACTATCCCAGAGCTCTATGTGACTGTATGAACTATCCCAGAGCTCTATATGACTGTATATACTATCCCAGAGCTCTATGTGACTGTATAAACTATCCCAGATCTCTATGTGACTGTATATACTATCCCAGAGCTCTATGTGACTGTATATACTATCCCAGAGCTCTATGTGACTGTATGAACTATCCCATGGCTCTATGTGACTATATATACTATCCCAGAGCTCTATGTGACTGTATAAACTATCCCAGGGCTCTGTATGACTGTATAAACTATCCCAGAGCTCTATGTTACTGTATAAACTATCCCAGGGCTCTGTATGACTGTATAAACTATCCCAGAGCTCTATGTGACTGTATAAACTATCCCAGGGCTCTGTATGACTGTATAAACTATCCCAGAGCTCTATGTTACTGTATAAACTATCCCAGGGCTCTGTATGACTGTATAAACTATCCCAGAGCTCTATGTGACTGTATAAACTATCCCAGGGCTCTATGTGACTGTATATACTATCCCAGAGCTCTATGTGACTGTATAGACTATCCCAGGGCTCTGTATGACTGTATAAACTATCCCAGAGCTCTATGTGACTGTATAAACTATCCCAGGGCTCTGTATGACTGTATAAACTATCCCAGGGCTCTATGTGACTGTATAAACTATCCCAGGGCTCTGTATGACTGTATAAACTATCCCAGGGCTCTATGTGTGACTTCAATATCTCTCTCTCTCTCTCTCTCTCTCAACAGCTACAGGAGGTCCGCGCCCACATGACCCGGGCAGGAACGACCCAGGTGGAGGTGGACGGTGATGCAGGGGAAAGACGCACACCCTCCAGCATGCCCTTTACACCTCTGGGCACTGAAGGACTGCAGGTAATAATTGGCTTATGTGTTACCTCTGTTTAGAGCTTCAGTTTCCGAACAGTAGTAAACCTCTTCTTAGTCTCTCTCTCTCTCTCTCTCTCTCTCTCTCTCTCTCTCTCTCTCTCTCTCTCTCTCTCTCTCTCATGTCATTTGTTTAATTGATTAGAATATCATGTAGACGCCGCCATGTTGACCTTGTGTTTCTGACATGTAAACAAAGCGACGAGTGTACTGTACAGTCCCCTTCACTGGTGCGTTTACAAGGTCCTCGTCAGGTTGTGTGCAGTGTGGCAGCTCTGTGTTTGTTTATGTGCGACAGAAGGAAACTTACAATAGTCAACAAACTGTGGCATCAAATTAAAACAATATTAAAACAAATATCTCAAAGACAATGATTTGTGGAATGTTTATATGACGAGCCCCTGTAAACGCACTAGTGAAGGGGACTGTACATTAAAGACTAAACAACAATCAGATATTTACTCTAGGACTATAATTATTATATTCATAATTTGAGTTAGTGATTCCATAATAAAGGAAAATAGGAGAACATACGAACATAAGAATGGAGGAAACTGCGGCGGGCCTATTGGCCCATACTGGGTAGTCCCATTTACACCCAATCCCTATCTCTCATATATCCACCCAACCTATGTTTAAAGCTATCCACCGTGTTCGAATTAATGATGATATTTGGTAACTTGTTCCACTCATCCACTACTCTATTACCAAGCCATTGTTTACCTATCTCGCGCTTAAATTTAAATTTGTCTATTTAAAACCATTGTACGAGTTCGCTACTGGTTGGATAGTTTAAGTACCTTTGTTATATCGCTTCCATTTATACACCTCTATCATATCGCCCCTCACTCTACGTCTCTCGAGGGAGTGCAAATTAAGATGCTTTAACCTGTCTCTGTACTCAAGGTTCCTAATGCCCGGGATTAGTCTCGCCATTCTCCGTTGAATTCTTTCTAGGGATTCTATCTCCATTCTGTAGTTTTGCTGAGTCCTCTTCAGATTTAATTACACGCCCTATTTTAGTGTTATCAGCAAATTTACTTATGTTGCTGTTTACGCCTATATCTATGTCGTGTATGTATATAATAAATAGTAGTGGTCCAAGTACTGAGCCTCGGGGAATTCCACTAATGACGTACCCCAATCAGATTTAGTATCACTATTGCTCACTCGCTGTTTCCTGTCCTATAACCACGCCCCAATCCATTTTAGAATATCTCCTCCACTGCCACGAGCCTCCACTTTACATATTAGTCTTTCGTGGGGGACTCTGTCGAAGGCTTTACTAAAGTCAAGATATACCACATCATAGTCGTGCCCCTCGTCCACTGATTCGAAAACAGTTGAAAAGAATGTTAATAGATTAGTTAGACATGAACGCCCACTTGTGAAGCCATGTTGGGAATCATTGATCAAATTGTGCTTCTCCAAGTAATTACGAATAGGTTTTATTAAACTCTTATATGGAAGACACGTTTCGTTATTTATTTAATCAACTGACATACTGTATAACCTAACCCAACCAACACCTAGCGTAATGTAACCTAACCAATAAATATTCTAACAAACTTAACCCAACCAATACCGAGCCTAGCGTAACCAAACCCAGCCAACACCTATCCTAACGTAACGTAACCTAACCAACACCTAGCGTAATGTAACCTAACCAATTAACCAGCACCTCTACGTCTTGTCCTCCTTCAGGTAAATATCCCAGAGGAGTTTCTGGCCAGGTTTGCTCGCTCTGACTCTCGCCCCGACTCTCCTGCGCCGACCCTACTCGTGCAGTCCTCCCGCCTCGCCCCCTTCAGGAGGTTAGTGTCCCTCGCTCTATCTGGCTGGCTGGCTCATGACACCACACTCCTGGGGGTTATGCGTCTACCTGTACTGTATCTGTGTCTGTAAGTCATTAGTGATGATTAGGTTAGGTAAGGACTCAGTAGGATTGTGACGCATGATGACATTGACTCATTAGGACAGTGACTCATTACGGCAGTGACCCATTAAGACAGTGACACCAAACGAACAGTCACAGGAGGTCACAGTGACTTGGTGTGTGCCCTGCTCACCAACATTCCTTCCAGCACTGTACATCACCCCCCCCCCCCTCCTCCCAACTCTCACTAAGGCAGGGTCACTAGCCACCATTACCTCGCTAAACTGCCGCAATTACACATTCCCTCCCCTGATAAAACCAACTTTAACTGCCTCATTTTTTTTCCTCTAAATCTCCCAACATTTTTTCTCTCGCATTTCACCCTTCCTGAAACTGCTCATGACTTTAACTATCTAACCTCCCTCTCGTTTTATATGTAAGTCTTTCTTTACGTGACCCAAGTCCCAGCAGGTGGGGATAGGGAAGCCCTGTCACGACCGGGTCTTAGCGGGTTCCTGGGATTGAGTTTGCAGAGGTGTGGATGACGGGTCTTCCTGGAGCGTAACTATGTGCTGTATTAACACGCCTCCATACCTCAACAGACCAACACCTCCACACCACCTCCACACCTCACTTATTAACCTGAACTGAGGCACCAAATGATCGTCCACTTTGATGTCCAAATTATACTGAGACTTTAATTATATACTTAATAGAAAATTGATGACCTGAAGATTAGACACTCCACCTCACGTAACGTAACGTAACCTAACCTAACCACCCCAGGTAGCGTTAAGGTGTTTAATCATCAGGTGAGACAGTGGACGAATTTATAAAACTGCAGATGAGGGAGTCAGGGCAGGGTGGTCACGCGGCCCTCTGTTGCATGACCGTAAAATAACACACACACACACGACACTAAGTCCTTCTCTGGTGGACATTTCCTTGCCTCCTACACACGCAGACTCCCTTCCCTCACCTCACTTCTTCTGTCCCTCACCTCACTGTCTTTCCCTCACCCCATTGTCCCTCCCTTACCTCACCCTCTTCCCTCAACTTACCTTCCTCCCTCTCCTCCCTCGCCACATCTCACCGTCCCTGCCTCAACCTCACCTCACCTCACCTACCCCTCCCTCACCTCACCTCCCTCACCTCACTTCCCCCTCCCTCATCTTACCTCCCTTACCTTACCTCAATAATTACATCACCTCACAGACTCTGTACATAATAATTTAACGAGAAATCCAACCAACACGAATTAACAACAATGATTACAGCGCGAATCATATCTCCGACCATGACAGATCTTATATCAAAGAGAGAAACTAGTGGCGATCGTGGTAGCCTGGCGATCGTGGTAGCCTGGCGATCGTGGTAGCCTTGTCATCGGGGTCCTCGTAATCTCTTCCTCTTGCGTGTAAACAAACCCCGCGACGCTCCAGAGAGGGATAGGGATCATTTATATAAGACATGCCTCTGAGATATACTTAGTCTGTTTGTACACGTTATATTTACATTATGGAAGGCAACGAGTTTGTGAGTGGAAGTATGTTTGTATATTTTTAAAGGATATTTTTAATCACACGACATCTTGTATTGTTTTGATCAATAAGTCCCAAATTATATGTGAACAGTTGGATGATGATGATGATGATGGTATTACTACTGTTACGACTACTACTTGTAACTAACCACACACACACACACACACACACACACACTGGGAGGTCAGCTCGGCACTAAACCCATAACGAAAAACAAACGTAATTCTCCACAAAAGCTAAAAATATATCCCTGGCCTCATTAGCTAGGTTAGTGTGGCGTCTCTGATATAAAACGCTGTGACAATGTTGACTTAGAGCTTTAACAAGAAACCATAGTGGTGAATTGTGTGAAGAGTTATGCCTCGTAAAATCAAGTTGGATGAAGGATACAGTTTGGTGATTAGGATAATATGTGTGTGTGTGTGTGTGTGTGTGTGTGTTGACCTCTGACCTCGCCCACAGATGCGTGACCCCCGATACCCTGGAGCCAATTCGTCGACCTCGCCAGCGGGTGTTGAGGAGAGCCACTAGTCTGCAGGATCTGGCCACAGCGCGCAGCCCTCATCCTTTCACGCCCGTGCCGCCCGCAGGTAACACTCCCCACCCACACCTTTACACCCACACCACCCACAGATAATACTCCCCACCCACACCACCCACAGATAACACTCCCCACACACACCATCACGCCCACCACCACCCACAGATAACACTCCCCACCCACACCATCACGCCCACACCACCCACAGATAACACTCCCCACCCACACACCACCCACAGATAACACTCCCCACCCACACCCTCACACCACCCACAAGTTACACCCCCACCCACACCTTTACACCCACACCACCCACAGATAACACCCCACACACACACCATCACGCCCACACCACCCACAGATACCCACGCACATCACACACCACCACAGTTCACACACCACCCACAGATAACACTCCCCACACACACCATCACACCACCCACACTCCCACCCACACCCACACCACCCACACTCCCCCACCCACCCACACCACATCACCCCACACCACCAGCCCCACACCCACACCATAATCTTAAAATAATACCAACAAAGGCTTGAAAATGACGTCTCTTCAGGGATTGAATTACTTATATTATTTTTAAACATCGCCTGAACGAACGGCGACGGATTTACATCAACAGTGAAATAATATAATCTTTTAGTTAGTTTACCTGTCAGTGGGGTGGGGGCTGGGTGGGAGGTTGTGTGGGTGGGTGGGAGGGGCTGGGTGGGTGGGAGGTTGTGTGGGTGGGTGGGTTGGGGGGCTGGCGGTGTGGGAGGTTGGGATGGGTGGGTTGGGGACTGGCTGGGTGGGAGGTTGGGGAGGCTGGCTGGTGGGGGAGGTTGGGGATGGGTGGTTGGGGACTGGCTGGGTGGGGAGGTTGTGGGGATGGGTGGGGTTGGGGGCTGGGGGTGGGAGGTTGTGGGGATGGGTGGGTTGGGGGCTGGCTGGTTGTGGGAGCTGGTGGGGGAGGAATTGGGGATGGGTGGGTTGGGGGAGGGTTAGTCGTGGTTCTGGAGAGGGGTGGGGAGGGTGGCAGCTCGAAGTCTCCTGAATACTGACAGGAGGTTCAAGATGGTCGGGACAATTATGGTCTTATCCAGTGTAACAGCCCTGGCGGATCAGGATGGGATGGGGGGGGTCAAGCATGCACGAAATGGCCCCCAGGATCAAGGGGGCCATTATTCAAGATGTCTGCCAAGGACCATCTCCCCCCTTCCCCACACACACCTTAACCCCCCTACCCCCCCCTCCCCTTAGCCCCCCACACTCCCCTACCCCCCAACGCTTTTAGTATTATTACAAGAAGAAAAATAAAACAACAGATCACAAGTTGTCCGTAATGTTGTAGTTTCGTCTATGATTGTCTTTTGTTTTATTGCGGTGGGTAGGGGGGGGGGGGGGGGTAGAGGAAGCTTGAACGACACCCGCTGCAGGTCGTGGGAGGTCAACTAAGAGTGTGTGTGATGGTCTGAAAAATGGCAGATGAAATTCAACGTCGACAAATGTAAAGTACTCAGTATAGGAGATGTAAACAGGGAAACCAGATACCAGATGAACAACGATGCCATAGAGAAATCCGACTGCGAGAGAGATTTTGGAGTAATGATAAGTAGGAACCTTAAGCCAAGTAAACAATGTGTTTTTGCTCGTAACAAGGCTAATAAAGTACTTGGGTTCATACAAAGGAGTGTTAGTTACAAGACTAGCGAGGTCATCCTAAAACTGTATCTTGCTCTTGTGAGACCACACCTGGATTACGCAGTTCAGTTCTGGTCACCGTATTACAGAATGGATATAGAATCCTTGGAAAGAATTCAGAGGAGAATGACAAGACTAATCCCGGGCATTAGGAACCTTGAGTATAGAGACAGGTTAAAGCATCTTAATTTGCACTCCCTTGAGAGACGTAGAGCGAGGGGCGATATGATCGAGGTGTATAAATGGAAGTCAGGGCTAAACAAAGGGGACATTACAGAGGTACTCAAACTATCCAACCAGGAGCGAACTCGTAACAATGGTTTTAAATTAGACAAATTTAGATTTAGGCGTGAAATAGGTAAACACTGGTTTGGAAACAGAGTAGTGGATGAATGGAACAAGTTACCAAATATCATCATTAACTCGAATACGCTGAATTGCTTCAAACATAGGTTGGATGCTCATATGAGCAATAGGGGTTGGGTGTAAACGGGACTGCCCAGTATGGGCCAATAGGCCCGCTGCAGTTTCCTCCATTCTTATGTTCTTATGTTCTTATTATAGTCAATGAATTCTCTGTAAGATATAATGGAGTGTGTGTGTGTGTGTGTGTGTTTGTGTGTGTGTGTTCCTACCTCCACTAATTAATCACAATTAGTATTAATTAACGATTCCAATTTAAGTTAAAGTCATATCATTATTTTTTGACGTTTCTTAATTAGATAAATAACCTAACCTAATCTCATCTCATCTCACCTCACCTAACCTCACCTCACCTCACCTAACCTCACCTCACCTCACCTCACCTCTTCCTTACAGGTCGAGCAGCAGGCAGGAGGAAACAAGGTAGATTCGAGGCGGACTTCACAACGAAACTCTCAAAGCAGCTGGACTTGGTGGCTAAGGGACAACAGCAAAAACAACAGCAACAGCAGCAACAGAGCCAACGGGAACAACAGAGACAGCAACAGGAGAAGAAGGGCAGCACAAGAGGGCCGAGGAGTAAGATTAACACACAGGTAACTTAATTCACCTTTTGTTAGTTATATAAATGATCCTCTCTTAAGCATTGACTCAGGTAGCCTCGATGATTATTTTCTGTTACGGGAACTTTTTGGAATTTGATGATAACTGACCAGAGGGAATACGATCTATCTAGCGTTACTTACTATAGCTAAGATAAAAGAGAGAGAGACAGAGAGATAGAGAGAAAAAGAGAGAGAGAGAGAGAGAGAGAGAGAGAGAGAGAGAGAGAGATATGCCATTACCGAGGGGGGGACTTGAACACAAAGGGTACATATGCTCTGAAATACCAACAAATGTAACTTACCTGTTGTATGTGTGTAATAATAATAATAATAATAATAATAATAATAATAATAATAATAATAATAATAATAATTCACGGTTTATTGAAAAAGTTCTGCAGCCCGAAGGCTCAAATATACATTGGACATAAATGACTTATTACATACATTGGTGGTTTAACAAAAGCCTTCATTAGAGAAAGGTAAAGGAACATACAGTGAACATACAGATTAATGCAGGTGTTGAACAACGTGGTGTAGCAGAACACGTGGTGTAGTAACTCCTTCACAGATGGTGTTATGAGGGGCATCACGTGGTTTACGAATTCCCTCACAGATGGTGTTATGAGGAGCCTGACGTGGTGTAGTAATTCCCTCACAGATGGTATTATGAGGGACCTCACGTGGTGTAGTAATTCCCTCACAGATGGTGTTATGAGGGACATGTGGTGTAGTAATTCCCTCACAGATGGTGTTATATGAGTGAGGTGTGGTCCCAGGCCTTGCTATCGTAGACGGATTAACACATCGCTGGTTGTTGTTGGGTCTCACGGGCAGTTATCACTAAATGAAATTGTAACTTCTGGCGAGAACTTATTGATATTCCGGTAGGGAGGAGGGTTCAGGGGAGTGAGTTGGTATGGGCCAACTTAACAGTTGACCTGGCTGCTCCGAGAGGAGTGCCAGGTACGTCTTGACCCTTCGGTGGTCAAGGATTTGATTTTTTGATTTTGCCGCTTGCAGCGGCTACTTTATTGTGCACCCCACACTCATCCTGTGAGCGGTAGCGCAAAAGAATTACAGAGTAGGGTTTACAAAGGGTTATAATAATTAACCCCCGTTGTCAGGATATTATGGCATTGAATGTTACACAGTATTTCATTTACATTATTTGTTTAGTTCTATACATAAAGGGTAACTTATTCACAAATGCGTGAGAACAGGCGTGTGAGGCAGTATGTCTGGCCTCACACTTTGTTATTCACATTTACGTGGGAGGTATTCAAGCACATTGCGTATTTGGTTCTGTACATGAGAATTGATATAGTTACTAAGTGCAAAAAGTGGATACAATCTTAATATGTCGGCTATCTTGCCATTAGAGATGAAGTGATCTTGTTACTTGCTCCATATACATGTTTCACTTGATACATCTCATCATGGTAACCTATGGATCGACTAGTGCCTGTTTGCACTTGTCTACTTGCGTCAAACTCATCAATAAGTTCTTTCCTAATTACAGTTTTAAGGGTTCTTTTTGACAGACCCAAATTGTATTCAACGGTGTCTTTGTTAGACGCGAGTTTGGCGAGGGCATCAACTCTGTCATGTTTTATGAGGCCTATGTGAGAGGGGATCCACAACAGTTTGACCTTGACACCCCGGTCAACAAGGCACGCATATTTGTGTCTGGCTTCAGAGACAAGACGTGACAACCTGAGTCGAGGGTACCAAGGGCAAGTAGTGAGGATAGAGAGTCAGTGATGATGAGACTGTCAGTAACAGTGGTTTCAATGAATTTAATAGCTGTGAGTATGGCAACTAATTCAGTTTGTAGAGTGGATGCCCAGTTGTTAATTCTAACTCCTTTCTCAATTATATTACCGTCAGGTTGAGTCACAACAATAGCACTTCCAGCCCTCCCACAGGCGGTGTTTAGAGATCCATCATGTGTGTGTGTGTGTTTGTGGACCGTACCATGTACAAACTTCAATATAGAATAAATAAACAAATAAAAATAAAAACAAATGAAAAATATGAATTTAAAAACAATGTTATAAATAATTACATGGAAATAAAAATCCTAGAATGGGTAATAACTACTACTGAAAATACTCCCTCACACTCGCTTAAGTTACCCCTCAAATCTATGTCACAGAAAATGAAATTTATTATCAGAGAAAACGGGTAAGTCATTTGTCTTGCCTAAACTAACCAATATTTACAGTATTTTATGAATCGATTTTAGTTTTATTATTTTTACTTATATATTAAAAGTTAAAACATGTACTGTTCTCACATATACAGTAGGTTAAGCGACATTAAACTATTTGATTATTGATAAGAATAAAGTGTGATATATTATTTTCGTTGAGTCAGTAGAGGGAGGTGGGGTGAGGGAGATGGTTCAACCCAGCTACATTATCGACCGCCCCTGTGTAGCCATTCTTCTGATTACCTGAAGATTAGCCACCCCGACGCTAACCTAACCTAATCCAGGGTTGGTGATTTTTTTAATTAAATTTATTTTTTGAATAATTCGTTTTTTTATTTATACTGTATATTTTTTTATTATTTGTTTTTCTAGTACAGTACAGTATACTGTTCCTGTCCTGTCTCTCCACAGTACAGTACAGTATACTGTTCCTGTCCTGTCTCTCCACAGTACAGTACAGTATACTGTTCCTGTCCTGTCTCTCCACAGTACAGTACAGTATACTGTTCCTGTCCTGTCTCTCCACAGTACAGTACAGTATACTGTTCCTGTCCTGTCTCTCCACAGTACAGTACAGTATACTGTTCCTGTCCTGTCTGTCCACAGTACAGTACAGTATACTGTTCCTGTCCTGTCTCTCCACAGTACAGTACAGTATACTGTTCCTGTCCTGTCTCTCCACAGTACAGTACAGTATACTGTTCCTGTCCTGTCTCTCCACAGTACAGTACAGTATACTGTTCCTGTCCTGTCTCTCCACAGTACAGTACAGTATACTGTTCCTGTCCTGTCTCTCCACAGTACAGTACAGTATACTGTTCCTGTCCTGTCTCTCCACAGTACAGTACAGTATACTGTTCCTGTCCTGTCTGTCCACAGTACAGTACAGTATACTGTTCCTGTCCTGTCTGTCCACAGTACAGTACAGTATACTGTTCCTGTCCTGTCTCCACAGTACAGTACAGTATACTGTTCCTGTCCTGTCTCTCCACAGTACAGTACAGTATACTGTTCCTGTCCTGTCTCTCCACAGTACAGTACAGTATACTGTTCCTGTCCTGTCTCTCCACAGTACAGTACAGTATACTGTTCCTGTCCTGTCTCTCCACAGTACAGTACAGTATACTGTTCCTGTCCTGTCTGTCCACAGTACAGTACAGTATACTGTTCCTGTCCTGTCTCTCCACAGTACAGTACAGTATACTGTTCCTGTCCTGTCTCTCCACAGTACAGTACAGTATACTGTTCCTGTCCTGTCTCTCCACAGTACAGTACAGTATACTGTTCCTGTCCTGTCTCTCCACAGTACAGTACAGTATACTGTTCCTGTCCTGTCTCTCCACAGTTGGGTCAGAGACTACAGACTGTGTTGTCAGTGTTCCTAAAGATAAAATATTCCAAAGCTTAATATATTACACAGATAAATCATAATTAACTGATATTATTATGACATGACTTTAAATCTACAACGATTTTCTTTTATAAACCTTCACGTTTCTTTTTCGTTAACTTTTTGATGAAAAGAAAAAAAGAATAATGATTTTTTATGCGAAAAATCATTGATTTAATCAATACCAACCCTGACCAAACCAAACCTAACCTAACCTAGCGCTAACGTAACCTATCCTAGCGCTAATCAAACCTAACCTAACCCCCCCCCCCCACCCGGAGAATTTTTTTGAAATCTGACCAATTTCAGGGATATTTTGAGGCAATATTATACTTGGGGGGGGGGCATGTCCAGCCATAGCCCTTGTGCTGTGTAATGACTCAGGATGTGTTTATGTGTTTGTGTGTGTGTGTAAGGTGTAGGGTGCGACCTTCACCCTAGGCCTCCGGTAGTAGGTGCTGGGGGCGTTGGGAGGGGAGGGGGAAGAGGAAGGGGAGGTGTGGGAGGAGGAAGGGGAGGTGTGGGTGGGGGAAGGGGAGGTGTGGGAGGGGGAAGGGGAGGTGTGGGAATAGGAGCTATGGGGGGGGGGAAGATTTGAACAGCAATAACCACTGATAAGTTGGGTCAACACAGCCTCACACCTGCCTGGCGGGGCGCGATGCCTTCACTATCCACAACAACATCCCTCCATCCAACACACTCCAAACCATGTAATGGCCTCGTTAGACATTGGGATAAAGCTACTAACTTATTGCTATATGGGGAGTTGTTAAGTGTGTGGTTAGGTTAGGTTAGTGGTGTGGGCAGCGGGGTGTTCGCGGCGTCAAGCAACTCTCCGTGGATCTTCTCATTTGTGACAAAGTGTGAACGAACGATTTTCACATCAGTCAGTATAGAGGGGCGGTGGCTAGGGGCGACATGTACTACACACACACACACACGGACTACAGCTGCTGATAAGTCTCGACCTCACTTGAAAATCTAACTCTTGGGTTGGAATCTAAAACCATCTTAGTGTTGCTGTGACTGTTGATACAAGATGGAGGTAAATCCCCGTGTGAGGAGTGAGGGAAGGTCAAGTGGTGGAGTTGTGTCGCGGGAAGCTTGTCACAGCAGGAGACAGCACAACACTCACAGTCCGTCAACAACACCACCTGGACGAAGAAGATCTGATGACAACCACAGACGTCAATATGAAGCTGCGTTAAAGGCTTCGAGCGTCGCCAGGATGAACATGCATAGAGGCAATGATGTATGGAGGCGGGTGGGAGGCAGGGAGAGGAACATCCGGAGAGCCAGAGAGTGGGGCGGCAACGGCACAACCGGACGAGTTATTTTGAGTCTTGGGAGAATTGGTCGCCATGTGATCAGGTACTCGACTCACTCCTGCCTCGACCCAACCAAGGTTCGAAGGGTTGTGAGGCGTCCAGGGCTCCTCGTCTACTGCCGAAGGTCTGCGCTCATCACCTCAAGACTGAAGAAGAGGCAGAGCGTAAGTCAAAGGACGAATGACTTAAATTACAGTTTACTTCTACCACCCAAACGAGTCAACAGAAGACACAGAACCTCGAGCAGACAGTCGAACAGAAAACCTGCACTACATGGAAAGACCAGCCCGGTGAACATGGCGGTCTTACAACACTTATTTAACGCTGGACCTCCCATAAGTGATCAAAGTAAGAGAAAGGGAAACAGAGGCAAGACACTCCTGAAGAAGACGTTTACAGCAGCAAGAAATATACGTGACGAAACTCGCAAAATTTTAGTATCGCGTAACACGGATGACGAGGAAGTACAACCTATGCCTTTCAGTGAATGGAAAATAGTAGTTAATAAAAAAGTTGTGAAAGAATATGACATAACTCAACAACCTGTGATAACAACTGAGACATCTGACGAGGAGAGATACGACGAGGATGCTAAGGTTCCTCCGTCATGCAGGATACACAACATTAAGACACAGGAGGTGAGTCCCCCAGGGGTGTTGGACCACTGGATGGTCGTCGGCGGTAAACTCCCGACGTCTGAAACGACGTCATGGTACTTCCCAGTCCTGCCACGAAGCCAGGCGGTGAGAGGCACACTGAGGCGAGGCACCGTCAATACACGGAGGTGTGTCAGTCAACGTGTGCAGCATCAGGCGCTGTTTTGTTTCCAAGTTTTTGCTCAAAAGTTGATAATTCACCCAAGACCTTTTATGGTGAAGGTCACTAGTAAGGGTAAAGTCTCTTCCAAAGGTCGTGGTGACGCCGGACACCTCAGCCCGAGTCACGTTAATCTATGGGATATTGATCAAACCAATAAACCAAAATATGCTTACGCTCCTCAGCCCAAATTCCTTCAGTCTGCCCAGAGAAACACTGCTCGTAAAGACCAGTCCAACACCATTCAGTCTGGTCAACTAGCCATTGTTTACAGTGATCACAGGCAAGCTGCTGCTATAGACGAACCCGATAATATTTCTAATTACAAACATCAAAATTTTCTTCAATCTGACCAACAACACAAGGACATCAACAAGATCGAGCAATATTCAACTGATCCACGACACACATACAAGACTAGAAGACCAGAACTTCCTCAAAATATCATTGAAGAAGGTACAGGTACTCGGAGGGGACAGTCGGCGGCGTCACAGTCTACCACCAGGAGCAAACAATCTCTCCCTCCCTCGAGCACAGCCACCCACACCACCGAGGGGAAGGTCGAGGCCTCACCATCTACTCGAGCAGAGGCGGCAAGAACACGCTTTAAACTGATGGAGTTCCTCAGAAGAAAAGGACAATTGAAAACTTATGAATCTTCAGAGGAAAGTTGCGGCAGTGAGGACGGGACAGACACACACAGCAGGAACAAGAAACATCGTAAGAAGAAAAATAATCGTAAGAGAAAAACCAAGAGTGGCAGACAGACGAGTGACACCTACAACAGTGAGTTACTAGAGGCGGATTTTCTGGACAAAGACATATTGGCTGAATTACTGAAATTACAGATTCCGAAAAAGAACCGGAGGGAAGATTCTGCCGATGACTCGTCCAAAAATATGAAAAAGAAGAAGAGGAAGAGGAGAGGATTACAGAAAAGTGGCGATAAAAGTAAGAGTCTCAAAGAGGAGTTGTTGGTGTCTCTCAGTCGCAACACAGCCTTCTGGTACGAGGTCACGTCTCGCCTGCAGACCGTCTCGACACACCCTGAGGTGAAGCCCACCGAGGACCTCTCACCGACGTGCTCAGCCAGCAAGAATAAGAAGAAACTCAAAGCAGCCATGCATAGTCTGAAGGGTTTGTCGGAGAGCGAGGCTGCCATTGAGACCATCAGAGACGAGGGACCGACCACCCAGCTGCCGCCATTACCCAACAGGGAGAAACCTTCCAAGTTCGTGGCTGCGGCCTCTGCCCTCATGACTGCTGAGAGAAATTACTACAATATTCTTCCTCCTCTTAAATCATCCTGGTCCGATACGCTGCAAGATTTACGACCGTCAATGTTGCAGGTTTTATATCACCAGTATTTGAATATATTCCCTTTACCTTAACCTTCAAACCTTCCAATCAAGAATATCTAACACTGACTCTCTTAATTATAAAAAAAATCATGAAACTGTGAAACTGTAAATCATCAGTAGACAGCATAACCCCCACGACACATTCAAACCATTTCTGCCTTTTCTTGAAGTTTGTGTTTTGTCTCGTGTCAAGGAAACACAACACACAACGAGACAGAAGCTATTTTGTAATCCCCAGTCACAACCTTCCACAGGGTAGTGAAGATTCGGGTCTGGGAGGAGAGAAACAGCCGCCCAAACGTCGCCCACGTCGAGGAGGAAAGAAGAAGGGGGATGAGGGAGGCCTTGATGATCCTGGCCAAACTGGGGTGAGTTACCTATCATGTCTGTTACCTATCATGTCTGTTACCTTTCACGACTGTTACCTATCACGACTGTTACCTATCACGACTGTTACCTATCATGTCTGTTACCTATCATGCCTGTTACCTATCACGACTGTTACCTATCACAACTGTTACCTATCATGTCTGTTACCTATCACGACTGTTACCTATCATGTCTGTTACCTATCATGTCTTACCTGTCACGACTGTTACCTATTAGGACTCTTTACCTATTACTACTAGAACTTATCACGACTGTTACCTATCACGACTGTTACCTATCACGACTAGAACCTATCAAGACTGTTACCTATCACGACTGTTACCTATAACGACTTTACCTATCACGACTGTTACCTATAACGACTGTTACCTATCACGACTGTTACCTATAACGACTGTTACCTATAACGACTGTTACCTATCACGACTATTACCTATCACGACTCTTACCTGTCACGACTAAAACCTATCAAGACTGTTACCTATCACGACTCTTCCCTATTACGACTAGAACCTATCAAGACTGTTACCTATAACGACTTTACCTATCACGACTAAAACCTATCACGACTGTTACCTATCACGACTGTTACCTATCACGACTGTTACCTATCACAACTGTTACCTATCACGACTAAAACTTATCACGACTCTTTACCTATCACGACTCTTACCTATCACGACTAGAACCTATCAAAACTGTTTACCTATCACGACTGTTACCTATCACGACTACAGAACATCACCTACGAAACTTAGTACGACCTGAGTCTCTGTCCATTACTTCAGGTGTCGGCTTTGGGGGACAGCCGGATAGGGTCGTCACGGAGGTCAGGTAGTTCCCATTCCTCCAAGCCCACCTCAGCCAGGTCGTCCAAATCTTCCTCCTCCCACCGCAGACTCCACGACCCTCTCTCCTACGACCCTAAGGTAAGTATAGGCAGTTTATATAACGTCCCTAATCAGTAAAACCTCCATATAACGGAATTTACTCTCCAATAGAGGTTTCACTATAAGTCATTTAACATCCTATATATGATACACCACATTATAACCCTCCATCATAACTCCTCTAAAAAATCTAACATCAAAACATCATAAAAAAAATCACTGTATTTATAGAGAACATTTATTTAAATCATTTCCCAACATAACATCAACCGTCTAATATTTTCTTTTCAACTTTATAGCAATTCCTAGGGGCCAGTAACCCTCCTGAAGATGGATCAGAACTAGCGAGGCTGCAGGAGACGCTCGGTGGGGGACCTACTAGTGGAGGTGCGACACTCACTGAGGCCCAGGTGTTTTGGTTCAGTCTCCCCCGTAGTCCGTCTCACCGTGCTGCCATCTTCACCCTTCCTGTGCAAATAACTAGACTATTTGGTAAATAACTGAGAGATGTGTGTGTGTGTGTGTGTGTGTGTGTGTATTCTTAAGTCTCTAAAGGTTTACGTTATTGGGTAAATATTTAATACTGAGAGAGAGAGAGTTGTCAGCAGCGTGTTCCCCCGGCAGGTATATCTCCCGTCGACTACCTGAAGAAGTACATGCGCCTGAGGACCTCCCGACGTCAGCTCTACTCGATGGTGTTTACAAGGCATCGTGACGTCGAGGTGAGCTCACACTAAGGTGCTCATTCAGTTTGTTACCTAACCTAACCTAACCTGACCTAACGCACAATTACCCACTCTGACGCACTATGGTCACACCCTCAGAGCATACGGGTGGAGCGGTTGTTGGTGGACGATGTGGGGGCGGCGCTGGGGGACGCTCTGGGAGGACACCTGACGGAGGCTCAGCTAGGGAGGCTAACATCACTCGTCCCCCTCCCTGACGTCTCCCTCGACCGAGACTTCTTCGTTCTCATCTCTGCCTTCGCCGAGAGACTCTTCTGTTATGGTGAGTATGTCTCTCACTAGTGATGTGTGTCTCTTTCTCTCTTCTCTCACACCTAGTCTCTTTCTCTCACTACCTCACTCCCTCTCTCTCTCTCACTCGTACAGTGTCTTTCCCCTTCACTTTCTACCTCTATCTCTTACAAGTACTCTCTCTCTCTCTCTCTCTCTCTCTCTCTCTCTCTCTCTCTCTCTCTCTCTCTCTCTCTCACCTCTCAACACCCCCACAGATCTGCTCGCGTCGCCGGATGTAGAGATCGAGCCCAGAGACTTGGTGGAACAACTCGACTTCAAGCAGCTGGACGAACGCTTAGAAGGAGTGAGTCTTGATCCCAACCTACACCACCTCCTGACCACCATCCGGGACCTGGGTTAGTTGTGTTGACATAAATCAGCTGAGTGTGTTGACATAAATCAGCTGAGTGTGTTGACATAAATCAGCTGAGTGTGTTGACATAAATCAGCTGAGTGTGTTGTCATAAATCAGCTGAGTGTGTTGACATAAATCAGCTGAGTGTGTTGTCATAAATCAGCTGAGTGTGTTGACATAAATCAGCTGAGTGTGTTGTCATAAATCAGTTGAGTGTGTTGACATTCTGTTATGCCTGAAAATGTTAACTCTACTGTCATCTAACTAGTAAATAGCTTCATCATTCACAAACTGTTATTAAAAAAAAAAAACACTTGCGATTCCTATTTTTTTCTTATCCTGTGTAACTTCTAAAGAGTACATCGACAGCTGTATGTCGAGTAAGGGGGTGAAGCAATGAAGCAAGAACCAAGTCTAGTGTAACAGAGGTCGAGTGAAGGGATGAGGCAAGGTGAAGCAATGAAGCAAGGACCAAGGCTAGTGTAACAGAGGTCGAGTAAGAGGGTGAGACAAGGACATACTCGACACTGGACTTGACACTCACTTGAAACTCGACACAAAAAGGACTTGTAAACATAAAGTGCTTATTGACACAACCTGTAAATATGTTTTTTTTCTTTTAAGCAAACCTTAAGTGTAAATGTCAAGGGTTATTGTTGTTGTTGTTGTTGTTGTTTTTATTGTTGTTGTTGTTATTGTTGTTGTTATTGATGTTATTGTTATTGTTGTTTTGATGGGTGGAGGAGGTCTGTGGCTCCAGCGATCGTCATCTGTCTTAAGGGTCGTTCGGTGGAGAGAGAGAGAGGCGTGGTAGTAGGGGAAAGGTTTTATGCGGGAGGCGGAGAAATGGTTTTTAGTGAATAGAGGAGATTAGGAAGAGCCTGTCTGTCGTTGTAAACAAAAACAACAACAAAAAACAACAACAACAACAACAACAACACATATCATTGTAGCTTCCGGGATTTACAAGAGGAGGCGGCAGAGTTAGCTTTTATTTTTTTCACTGTAGGAAAAGGAGAAGTTTTCTTTGAGGGAAGGTTATAGTGTCTTGGAGAGAGAAAGTATATTTGGAGAAGAATGTACTCGGGAAAGTTTTTTTTTTTAGAGAGATCTGTATTTGTGTGTGTGTGTGTGTGTGTGTGTGTGTGTGTGAATTTTAAGTACTTGAAAGGGAAAGTCTCTCTCTCTCTCTCTCTCTCTCTCTCTTCTCTCTCTCTCTCTCTCTCTTCCCGTCACTCTATATAGAAACTATAGGCAGCAGATGCCCATTATGACCCATTGCAAAATACATTACAGAAGGTAAGGTCAGGTTAGGCGTTGTAGATACGAAATGTAAGTGTGTTATAAGTGAGGCTATTTTTATACTGAAGGGGAGGGTAGGAAGAAGGGGATGTATACCCCCCCCCAACGCCCTCCCCACCCCAACACCCTCCCTACCCCCAACACCCCTACCCCCCACCCACACGCCTCCCTACCCTCCACCTACCCCCCCACCCCCAACACGCCCCCCCAGCCCTCCCCACGCCTCCCCACCTCCCAACACGCCCCCACCCCCAACACCCCCAACACGCCCTCCCCTACCCAGCACGCCCCCCACCCCCACGCCCTCCCCACCCCCCATCCCCCACCCCCCCCCCACCCTCCCTCCTGTAGGCCTCCCACCCCACTCCCCTCCCCCCCACCCACCCCCCACGCCTCCTCCCCACCCCAGCCCAACATTTCCCCCCCATAACCAGATATTTCTAGGTTCCACTGCAGACCCAGTACTTACAGACTATAGGAGACACAACAAAATATCCTATATTTGAGAAAGACGAGGTAGGGAAGGAGGAGGGGGGAGGAGGGGTTAGGAGGGGGGGGTGGGAGGGAGGGAGAGGAGGAGGGGGGGGTTAGAGGAGGGTGGGGTGAAGGAGGAGGAGGAGGGGGCAGGAGGAGGAAGGAGAGGGGTGGGGAGGGAAGGAGGAGGGGGAGGAGGAGGGGGGGGGGTAGGAAGGAGGAGGGGGAGGGGTTGAGGGGGTGGGGAGGAGAGAGAGAGGGGGGTGGGGAGGGAGGAGGGGGAGTGAGAGGAGGTTAGAGGAGGGGGGTTAGAGGAGGGGGATGGGGTAGGGAGGGGGAGGGGGGAGGAGAAGGGGAGGGGGAAGGTTAGAGAAAGAAGATGACAGGGAAGGGGAGGACTAGTGAGAGGAGGCGAAGCATGAAGATGATGAGGCGTAGGAAGAGGAGGAATTCATGGCAGGAAGATTCAGTGAGCCTGTTAGGTTGGCGTTGAGGAAGAGGTGGAGGAGGACGAAGAGGAGAAGCAGGAGGAACAAGATAAGGAACATGAAAAGGAGGAAGAATAGGAATGGGAGGAGGAAAGGAAACAAATGGGACAGGAACAGCAGGAACAGGAGGAGGAGGAAAGGAAACAGATGGAACAGTAATAGAAGAAAGAGGAGAAGGGAAGAAGTGAGGCGAGGCGTGGCACTACTGACGTCATGTTCCGCCCTTCACAACTCATCTTTATGACCACCTTCAGGAGCCGAGTCCCTTTGTGCCTGGGCTGCAGTTTTATCACCACGTCACTCTCTCCTCCCGGGAATTGTCATACGAGGCCGCGGTAGTGTGTGTGTTTAGAGGAGTCTTCCCTGCTTAAGGTGATCTCGAGGCGGTTTTCTTTGCCCTTTTTCGGTTGACTTTCTGAATTGTATTTTTATATACGTCCAAGGGATAAACATTTTTATTTTATTTTATTTTTTTTCGGTCTGAAGTAATTATTGTTGATGCTTCTTATTTTTATTTTTTGAGGCGATTTTGAGGTACAAATTTCGATTTACGATTATCATATGACATTTTTTTTTACTTTTCTTCTTAGCTTTTTCATATTTTTCTTATTAAAGGAACAAAAATTGATTAATCTAGCAAGTGTAATTAATTATACCAAGGAAGGTACACAGTCTCAATTAATCAGCAGTTGGTGAGGGGGAGGGGGGTGGGTTAATGGTGGTCGTTAACAAGGGGAACAATAAGTATTTAGGGTAATTAGCATCGACCAGCGTGACCTATGATGACAGCAGCTTTATAACGCACAATTTACCCTCCGCCAAAATAAATTCTACTTCTAATTTCTCTGAATTTTGCGATATATATTTTCACATTTTTAATATAGAAACGTTTTATTATAATTTTGAGTTTGTTTGTATATAAGGATGTCATATTGCTTTTTTTTACACACACACACACACACACACACACACACACACACACACACACACACACACACACACACACACACAGGAACAGACACACACACACACACACACACACACACACACACACACACACACACACACACACACACACACACACACACACACACACACACACACACACACACAGAACACACACACACACACACACACACACTGGGGAGGATCTATTTACTCCTGGTGAAAAATTATCGGAGGAAGATATATAGATGACAAAAGTGGTACCGTATCATCGGTCACCAGGGAGAAGGTGTCCTAGTGCGTGTCTTCCAGTCTTTCCTAAATGATTTACTGATAAAACATTTTTCTGTAGAGTTTGTCTCGTTAGTTCTTACTTGATGGTGTGGCTGTAGTGGTGGAGAAGGGAGAGAGTGGTGGTGGGGTGGTAGGGAGGGAGAGGGTGGGTGGTGGTGGTGGATGATGGAGAGGGTGGTGGAGGAAGGGGAGGAGAGAGAGTGGTGGAGGGAGGGAGAGTGGTGGAGGGAAGGAGAGAGTGGTGGTGTGGAGAGTGGTAGTGGTGGTGGATGATGGAGGGTGGTGGAGGAAGGAGAGTGGTGGAGGAGAGAGAGAGTGGTGGAGGAAGGAGAGTGGTGGAGGAAGGAGAGATGGGGGAGGAAGGAGAGTGGTGGTGGTGGATGAGAGAGAGTGGTGGTAAGGTGGTGGTGGATGATGGAGAGGGTGGTGGAGGAAGGGAGAGAGTGGGAGGGAGGAGAGTGGTGGAGGAAGGAGAGAGTGGGGGAGGGAAGGGAGAGAGTGGTGGTGGTGGTAGTGAGGGAGAGGGTGGTGGTAGTGGTGGTGGATGATGGAGAGTGGTGGAGGAAGGAGAGAGAGTGGTGGAGGAGGTGAGAGTGGTGGAGGAGAGTGGTGGGTGTGGTGGATGAGGAGAGTGGTGGTAGTGGTGGTGGTGGATGATGGAGGTGGTGGAGGAAGGAGAGTGGTGGAGAGAGAGTGGTGGAGGAAGGAGAGAGTGGTGGAGGAAGGAGAGAGTGGGGAGGAAGGAGAGAGGTGGTGGTGGTGGATGAGAGAGTGGTGGTGAGTGGTGGTGGATGATGGAGAGGGTGGTGGAGGAGGAGAGTGGGGGAGGAGGGAGAGAGTGGTGGAGGAAGGAGAGTGGGGGGAGGAAGGAGAGAGTGGTGGTGGTGGATGAGAGAGTGGTGGTAGTGGTGGTGGATGATGGAGAGGGTGGTGGGAGGGAAGGAGAGAGTGGTGGAGGAGGGAGAGTGGTGGAGGAAGGAGAGGAGGTGGTGGTGGGGTAGTGAGGAGAGATGGTGGTAGTGGTGGTGGATGAAAGAAGGGGTGAGGTGGTGAGTGGTGGTGGATGATGGAGAGGGTGGTGGAGGAAGGAGAAGTGGTGGTGGTGGATGAGAGTGGTGGTAGTGGTGGTGGATGATGGAGAGGGGTGGTGGTAGTGGTGGTGGAGGAAGAGGAGAGAGTGGTGGAGAAGGAGGAGTGGTGGAGGGAGGAGAGAGAGTGGTGGAGGAAGGAGAGTGGGTGGTGGTGGTTGTGGGGGGAGAGGGTGGTGGTGGAGTGGTGGGTGGATGATGGGAGGGTGGTGGAAGGAGAGAGTGGTGGTGGGTGAGATGAGAGAGTGGTGGGAGTGGTGGTGGATGATGGAGAGAGTGGTGGTAAGTGGTGGTTGATGATGGAGAGGGTGGTGGAGGAAGGAGAGAGTGGTGGAGGAGGGAGAGAGTGGTGGAGGAAGGAGAGAGTGGGTGGTGGAAGTGAGGAGAAGGTGGTAGTGGTGGATGATGGAGAGGTGGTGGAGGGAAGGAGAGAGTGGTGGTGGTGGATGAAGTGGTGGTAGTAGGTGGATGAGAGGAGAGGGTGGTGAGTGGTGGTGGATGATGGAGAGGTGGTGGAGGGAAGGAGAGAGTGGTGGAGGAGGGAGAGTGGTGGAGGAAGGAGAGTGGTGGTGGTAGTAGTGAGGAGAGAATTGGTGGTAGTGGTGGTGGATGATGGAGAGGGTGGTGGAGGAAGGAGAGAGTGGTGGTGGTGGATGAGAGTGGTGGAGTGGTGGGGTGGATGATGGAGAGGTGGTGGTAGTGGTGGTGGAGGAAGGAGAGAG